CCCGCCTGCTCCGCCCTCCCGCCCCGCCGTCCTAGGCCCGCCGCCCGCTCCCGGAAGCAGCGACCGCGGCCGGAGCGCGGCTGGGCGAGGCCTGGGCCCACTGAAGGCGCCCACAGCTCTACGGGCAAGGGCGGGGCTCCGAGCAAGACGCAGCTCGCCTGTTGGTCCAGCGGCTCGGAGGCGGGACGCCACGCTATCCGAAGCTCTGCCATTGGCTGGAAGCCGATGGGGCGGAGCCGCTCCCGTGAAGCCCCAGTAGCGCTAAACTGCGGCTGCCCCAGTAGTGTAAAGCTAACAGTGTGGTTCCGCACTGTCTGATGCTTGGTGTCCGGATTTGCTCGTGGAACCTACACTAACACCTGTGCCCTCACCACCATTTTACAAAGCAGAAAACTGGCTTAAACAGGCACAACAAACACCCAGAAAGAGACTACAAAAGCCGACGTGGTGGTGCACGCCTGTCATCCCAACCACTCCGCAAGCTGAGGCAGGAGGATCACCAAGTTTGAAGCCAGCCTGGCTACGTAGAGTTCAAGCCAACGAGACTCTATCTCAAAAAACCAAAAAGTTCCTGATCTTTGAGGGCCATATTACTAGGTGTCCTGGGCTACATAGGGCACACTGGCCACAGGTTGAACACACTTGGTTGTTTCTCTCAAGATTGGCTGACCGGGAAGCGGGGCATAGCATCACATGCCTGTAATCCTAGCACTGAGAAGGCTCAGGTAGGAGGATCTCGAGTTCCAGGCACAGTGAGTTCAGTTATGCAGAGCAAGACCCTATCTCAAAACACCAACACACACAAGAGCACTGAGGGTAAAAACAAGTGATCCAAAATGTTTTGCCCAACAACATTTGAACTGTCTCAATCTCTTCTTTATCGTAAGCTCAGGTCTGCCCTGTATCAACTAAACAGAGCTAATATCTAGGGATTTTGATGTGGACAGCCTAGAAGAAGTATAAACAAGCCTGTGGAATACTGATATGGTCCACACATTAGTTTTCTTAAATGTACAAGGGAAATCATGATTTTCCTTGTCTCCTTTCTACCTTTTTTTTCTACGCTGCCTCAGAACAATGGCTATGACAGAAACAAAAAACGTGCAGGATGAGGAGTGTGAACAAAGAGCTTGTGTAGGAATGCGTACGAGCTGGGAGACTGTGGTGGAATCCTTCGCTGACTTCTGAACGGGGGGCTCCTGGGCTGGCAGCTACATGTGCTTGCCCCAGCAATTAGAGAAACCACAGTGAGCTTTGGTGATCCATAGCCAGGTCCTGGTATTAGGAAACCCCAGCTCCCTGCACATAGCTGGACCTGCCACCAGCCCTCAAAGTGCCCTCCTCGGGACAGGTCGGTAATGCCCTGGCCACACAAGATCACCTAACCCCTCTCAGGAGCCTTCTCTAAACAGTTACCTGGACACAGAAGTCACAAGTTATCTACTGGCTTTAGAAACACTATTACTTTACATAGAAAAAAATCACCACTAAGTTGTTCTAACATGTTTTCCCTAGTAAACTAAAAATTGCATGTTTCACAAAGATTTGCAACATGACTTTTTAAAAAATATACTCACTGCATAGACATTATATATGGCAGGACACATTTAATGTCTTTTTATTTATCTTATAAAACAAGACAAGTATATTTTCAAAGTGCTTCTGCAGCCACTGCACCCACTCCCCCCAATACTAAGGCAGGCAGAAAGAGCGGGAATCTTACAAGGAAACTGAGGTCCCAGAAATTAAATGATCGACTTCATTAGCAGCGGAATAAGACGTAAGATTAATTCTCCTGATTCTTCATGTCACCATAAATAACACATATTCTCAAATAGTTAATGGGATGGGAGGATAAAGGTACTGAGCAGGTGGTTAATAAATACCCATGGATGGCAAGATTACCAACAGGGGATGTAAGAAGCCTATGGAATCCTCTGCAGGTGTGTGGCATTCATAAGACTGGAGATTTTGAGAGATGAATCCGAACTGCATGGGGACACAAGCTGAAAATCTTTGTGTAATGGAAGTTTGTAGGTGGTTGTTGACAAATATGACTCACAGGGTATAATTCTGGAAAAGATCCTCAGCATCGTAGAATTGCTCATCAGCTTTCAAGGGATGAGAGCTGCTGAGGTAACAGCTTCTACTGAGGTGGTTACCATCAAGGGCTCCACAGAACCCCAAATCATCCACATCCTGGGCTGTGTGTCAGGCTTTTAGCTACTGTCTCCTGTGATACCTGGCTTTGACCTACAAAGGCCAGACAGGAAGAACACTTCTTGGAATATTGTGTCTGTAAAACCTGAGGTTCTGCCAGGTATACTAGTGCATCCCTATAATCCCTAAGTGCTAAGGGAGGAAGACCCCAAGTTCAAGCCCAGCCTAGGCAATTTAGCAACTTACTGAGACCTTGTCTCAAAATAAAAAGGGATGGGGTATAGCTCAGTGTGAAGGACTTGGGTTCAATCCACAGAACTAAAAACAACAACAAATGAGGTTATGGCAGGTACAGTGGCACAGGCCTGTAATCTCAGCTACTCAGGAGGCTAAGATAGGAAGATCACAAGTTCATGGCCAGCCAGGGCAACTTATGGAGACTACTTCAAGATAAAAAAAATATAAAGGGCTAGGGGTGCATCTCAGTGCCAGAGCACTTTCCTAGTGCAAGAACCTAGGTTCAGGACTGGGGATACAGCTCAGTGGCACAGCACCTGCTTGGCAAGTGCAAGGTCCTGCTCCTCCTATTTCTGATGCCCAAAAAAAAAAAAAAAGAATACCACTTTAGCTGGGCGTGGTGGCACACGTCTGTAATCCCAACACTCAGGAGGCTGAGGCAGGAGGATCATTTTGACTTTGAGATTAGCCTGGGCTACAACGTGAGCTCATGGCCAGCCTGAACTGCATAGCAAGACTCTGTCTCAAAAAAAAAAAAAAAAAAAAAAAAAAAAAAACCTAGGTTCACTTCCCAGTATCACAAAAAAAAAGAAACAGAAAAGAAAGCTGAGGTCCCTTCTCCCTAACTCACAGGTGAGAGGGTACTGGGAAAGCTAATGCTTGCTGTGTGTTCCTTGCCAGATGCTGGTTTCTGCCTCAGCCCTTTTCCTGGATTAGACACTTGTCTTTCCACTGGAGGACAAGAGTCCTCAGCTTCTTCCAGTCATCAGGGTCCAAAAAGCTCAATGCTGTCCAGTTTCTCCTCTTTGTAGAGCACGATGTTCTCCATCAGTTTCCTTTTAGCCTCATTTATCTCAATTTTCCATGAAGTCTCTGGACCTGAAGTTGAACAGAAAGTAAAACACAACTTGAACAAAATTGACTAGTATTGTAGCTTTTAGAAAGTCAGACTTGGAATAGCTAAATCTTGAAAGCAGCCTATTGTCTATGAACAGATTAATGGATAAAGAAAATGGAATATTATTTTGCCATAAAGAAGACAAACTTAGTCATTTGCAGGTAAATGGATGCAACTTGAGACTTGAGATGTTAAGTGAAATAAATCACAAACACAAGCTTAAATATCTCATGGTTTCTCTTATATGAGAAAACCAAAGTATAAATAATTTTGAGAGCAAAGTAAAAGACAATAGGAAACAAGGAGATAGTTCTTTTTTAAATGGGATAGGGACGAAGAAACGGAGGGGGCGGGAGGAGAAGTGGTTCCGGCAAAAGGACAGCAGTTCAGACTGGGGCGATGCAGAGACGGCAGTGAGACAGGTGGCAAGGGATGGGAGAGGGTAACGGAAAAGTGGAAATGGGGGGGTGGGTCAAGGAAGCCTATGGGTTTTCTTGTGCTTGGATGAATCCTTAAAGGAATTGGCAAGGAAGGAAAGATTAACGGAGGCTGCGCTTACCGCCCTGCGGCCCACAGGAGTTCGCTTGCAGCCCTCCTGCCTCGGCCTCCGGGCCCACACTGGGCGCCGCCCCACCGGAGACCAGTGCCTGGAGGCCAGCGTTGTCCACGTCATCGGTCTCCTCGGGTGTGTTGGCGGCGGAACCGGTTCCTGTAGAGAGCCCGCTCCACTGCAGCAGCGCACCCCGCCCTCGAAGCCGCTCCTCCACGGCAGCCACCGAGCCCCGCGCCTCGGGTAGGAGACAGAGAGCGACGTGAGCAACCCAAAGCCACACCCACCTTCCGCCCCGCCTCCGTCTTGCCAGAGTACGGCGGCTGAGATGGGCCATTCAAAGAACCCCATTCTTCATACCACAGTGATTGGTCTGGCTGGGGCACATGACCGAGATGGCCAATCAGAATCCTTCCTTGGGATTTTTGATTTACAGCAGTAAAGACTGCTTTCCAGTGGCACAGGCTCCCATCAAACACGGGATATCAGTTCAGAGGAAGGGAAAATGAAGCCTCAACAAAGAGCAAAGGAGAGACAAGCGATGGAGAGACAGACACAAATAACAGCATCTTCGATGTTGAGACTGGGTCTAACTGCTCTGAAAGCAGAGCAAGGTTAGTCCTCTGCTGTCTGGTTAAATGAGCCACTTCGTTCGTTCATATTATCCCTTCCTGTATGTCTGTGTTCTTTTTGAGAGTTTGAATTTCTAACACTTCCAACAATAAATGCACTAGTAATACAGATGTTGCCCTTGAGGGCCCTTCTGGTTAGCAAGATTAGAAAAATCAAAGGCATGCAAGGAATAAATGTTTCCATTTAACACATACACAAAAGGCATATATACAGACTTTTTAACTTTTTCTACAGTATAAGAGATTGAACGCAGGACCTTCACACTGAGCTACATCCCCAGCCCCTTCTTATTTTTTAACATGGGTTTTGCTAAGTGCCCAAATCGCCAAGCCTGAGCTTGAAACTGCAATCCTGCCTCAGCCTCCCCAAGTGCTCTAATAACAGTATCACATTTCCTTGGTGCCTTCTAAAAGTTCAGTGTATAAATTTACATATTTTACACACAGTGCACGGTAGATTTTTCATTTTCATAATTTTCAGATCTTAATTGGATTTATCTTAGTTTTGTGGAGCTGGGATGGAACCCAGGGCCTCACAAATGCTAGATAAATGCTGTACTACTAAACTACATCTCTAGTCCAACAATGAGTTTTTAGAGGCCTGGACATCCTACCTTATGCCATTCTTGCTAAGAGGATAGAAGAAAAAAGAAAGGGGACCTACAAAGAGGAGGGATGAAGCATATTCATAAAGCAAGCAGAATCCTGTAAGCATCAGAGGCTCTGGTCCTGCATACCCTCAATCCCAGAACACACCTGCCCTCGGGTTCCCCGTTAAGCACCACTGCCCCTTTCTGCTCATAGAAGCTCTGTGGGGTAAGCTACTTGCGACCAAATCCAGTCTTGGTGTGTGAAATCCTGTCTCTGCAAACCTGTGCCCAGTGAGGCAGACCCAGACAGTCCCCAGCAAGTGAGGCCCGATCAGTGAGGCTCACCTCCTGCAAGCTAGTGTTGCGCCTCCGCAGGCAGAGGCAGACAGCTGTGGCCAAGGCCTCAGCACAGTCCTCAGGCAGCGACCCAGCTCTCTTCTCCAAGTGTTTCTGGCAGATCTCTTTTACTGTCACCTTCTGCACCCCCGTCTTCCTGGAGCTTGGAATTGCACTGAGGAGTAAATCTTTCTGTGGGAGAAGAGGGGAAAGGCCTCCAGTGAGCTGCAGGGTAGAGCAACCACCATGTGCCGCCCCCCACCTCCAGGCCTACCCCGGAGCCCAGTAGTTTCTCAAAATACACACATTTAAAGCATAAATGCAGGGGCTGGGGATTTAGCTCAGCGGCAAAGCGCCTGCCTGGCAAGTGCAAGGTCGTGAGTTCGGTTCCCGGTACCAGAGAAAAACCAAAAAAATAAAATAAAATAAAAAAAATAAAGCATAAATGCAAGAGTCCCAGAAACAAATACAACATCAGGAAGTAGAACATCACTCAACTACCTATATGCAGTCCACAGTACACTTATAACACAGCCACAGGCCTCTATTTCTTCACAAGTAAAATGGCAATCACAAAAACATCTCTCCTAGGACAGACCGAAACATTAGCAGAGTACTGTAACTAAAGCACAAAGTATACCTCACACAGAAGAAACATACAGTCGATTACTGGTGATAAACAGTACTGGTAGTAACGATCATGTACTACGTACTGAGCATTTTACTTACATTAATAATTTAATCTGATTAGCAATTAATAGGGGCCCTTTCTGCCTTTGCTAGTGCCATGGCACACATGAAAAAGGCAAAGGGAGGCAAAAAGAAACAGCAAGTTCGGGGCTGGGGATTTAGCTCAGCGGCACAGCGCTTGCCTGGCAAGCACGAGGTCATTAGTTGATTCCCGGTACTGGAAAAAAACGAAGAAACAAAAAAAAAAAAAAAAAGAAACAGCAAGTTCTCAAGCTCATTCTGACTGTGCCCGCCCTGCAGAAGGAGGAGTCATGCATGCTGCTGATCACAAGCAGCTTCTCCAAGAGGAAAATCAATGCAAACGGGAAAGCTGGGGCTCTTCGGGGCAGGGACTATAAGCATCAAAATGAATAAGAGCAGGTTTCAGGCTCTCCAGAGTTGCTTTTTTTTTTTCTTTTCTTTTCTAGGTCTGGGGCTGGAACTCAGGGCTCTGAACATGCCCCGTCACTGGACTACACTGCAAGCCCACCCTTAAGAAATATCTGAAGACTAATTTACACGACTGGTTCAACACAGCTGCTAAATGCAAAGACAGTTACAAATAACATTACTCACAAATTAACCAGGACGAAGAAGAAAAGATGAGGATTGAAACTTTCTTATTTGGAGGGGCTGGGGATTTAGCTGAGCGGCACAGCGCCTACCTGGTCGCCTTTCCGGTACCAGGAAAAAAAAAGAAAAAAGAAAAAGAAAAACCAAAAAAAAAAAAAAAAAAAAAAGAAACTTTATTTGGAATATTTCACATAAGATCTTGAGTTGAAATTGAAGAATGACATAAAAATTACATACAAATGGATAATCTCTTATAATACAAAACAAACACTTTGAAATGTAGGATTCAGGACTTGGGGTGTAGTTCAGTGGTAAAGTGCTTGCAGAGCACATGAGAAGCCCTGGCTGGGTTCAATCCCCAGCACCACAAAAACTAATTTTAAATATATAATTACAGCTGGGCACAGGTGCATATATGCCTGTAATCCCAACTACTCAGGAGGCTGAGATATGACCATAAATTCATGACCAGCCTCTGCAACTCAATAAAACCTTGTTTCAAAATTTTATGGGTCTTTTTGCGGGGTGGGAGTTGGGGTTTTTCTGAATTTTGTTTTTTGAGACAGTGTCTCACTATGTAGCCCATCCTGGCCTTGAACTTGAAGTGATCCTCCTGCCTCAGCCTCCCAACTGTTGGGATTATAGGGTTGCACCTGTAGCACCACACTCAGCATTCAAAATAAAATTTTAAAAAGGACTGGAATTGTAGCTCATGGTAGATAGCATATGTAATGATCCTCTGGGTTTACTCTCTAGTACCTCCAAAAATATATATCTACACATTTATTACTCTTTATAAATGTATAATTATATAATTATAAATATGTAAAATGTATACCATATAATATTTTGTACTATGTAAGAAGCTGAATTCTAAAAACTATGCAACAGAAGATATGATATAAATAATAATTATATTTCTATACAAATATATATTTGGCACAAAACATACCTTATGTAATACATATTTCATGCATAATATGGTATATGTTTATATATTCTATGTTCTAAATACATTATATGAAACACATTGCTTAATATAAGAAAATTAATATGTAATTATGTACACTATTAACAGAGCTACACTGCATTAATTATATCATATTAACATAATTTGTTTTCTATTTGTCTCCACAAGTATAATTTGTGTTAATAATGTAACATTTGTACATACATTTTTATACAATGTATTTGTCATATATAATATACTTTAAATAATACCATATATATCTATCTTTTAATTATATATTATAAAACAATTTGTTACATGTATTAATCTCATTAACATACATATGTATTTCAATATACTTTATATATTACATACTACATGCTATAGACAGTCTATATCATGTATGTAAAATGCAAAAGCCTGATGAAACTCCATGCTATGAATATAAAATATAAATGATAGTTTATATAAATAATATGAGCTATATGTATATATTCATACATAAAATAAGAACCAGAGTTCGGGTTGCCAAAAATAACAGTAGTTATTTCCAAGAATGATTTTAGTTATTCTTTCTTTTTAGTGGTACTGGGGATTGAGCCCAGGGCCTCTGCACCAAGCTACATCCCAGCCCTTTGTTTTTTTTATTTTTTACTCTGACACAAGATCTTGCTAAGTTGCTCAAGCTGGGCTTGCATGTGCCACCACATCTGGTGGTGTTTTGTTTCGTTGTTTTGTTTTGTGTTTTGAGGTGACAGGGCATCATGCATGCTAGGACCCTTGGTCCCTGTATGTTTACTTTTTTTTTTTTTTTTTTCGGTCTTTTTGAGACAGGGTCTCACTATGCAGTTCAGGCTGAGCTCACTTTGTAACCCACACTGGCCTTGAACTTGCAACAATCCTCCTGCCTCAGCCTCCTGAGTGCTGGGATTACAGGCATGTGCCACCACTCCTGGTTATGTTTACTTTTAATGTCAAGAGTTTCTGTGTTCTGTATTTGCTATCTGTTAACTGTGGCCTTCACAGAAAGCCAGGATTTATGTGACATCTGGTACCTGCTGACTTTCTCTGTCCCATCTCCTCCCTGTCTCCCTCTGATCACTACACTCAGCCATGTGGTCTTCCTTTTTCCCCAGAAGCCCATAAGGCCATCTTGCCCAGGCCTCTGCCCTGGTGGTGGCCTCAGCCTAGGATGCACTTCCTGTGAGGTTCCCACGCCCCCTCCCGCAGGTCATCTGGGTCACTGCTCAGCTGTGACCCTGTCCACGAGACGCACTCTGGGCTTGGCCTTCACTCCCCCTAACCTTACTTCTAGTTCACTCTGGGCACATGCTGCTCCCTGAACGACACATTTTTATTTTTCCGAGTATCATTTCTTTTTCCCCACTGGGATGAAGGCTCCATGAGGACAGAAACCTTCTCTCGCCCACCAGTATCCTTCAGTGTCCAATTCCAGTGCCTGGTTTGCAGCAAGTACCTTGGGCACATTTGCACAAACATATAAGCCAATTTACTGGTTTTGGTTAAGTTTCATATTTTCTTTTTGTGTAATATTTATGTATGTGTGTATTTTGTACCAGGAATTGAACTCAAGATCTTGCGCATGCCAGACAGGCACTTGTGCTGCGAGCTATATCCCTGGCAATTTTATTACTTTTATTTTTTTTTTAATTTTCTTTGTTTTTTCTTGTCTTTTTGAGACAGGCTCTTGCTCTGCAGTTCAGGCTGGCCTTGAGCTCACTTTGTAGCCCAGGCTGGTCTCAAACTTGCAACCATCCTCCCGTCTCAACCTCCCAAGTGCTGGGATTACAGGCGTGTGCCACCATGCCTGTCTTTATTACTTTTAAATAGAAGCAATTCATTAAATGTGAAATTAATTTTTACCACTCTATACAAGCTTTCATACAAATACATTTACAATTCAGAAAAAATAGTTCTGAAAGATTATCTGCCATGAGTTGCAATGTTTGCTTCAAAAACAAATGAAATAGCTGGATGTAGTGATGAATACCTATGGTCCCAGATCCTTGGGAAGCTGAGGCAGAAAGATCACTTGAGCCCAGGAGTTCATGGTCAGCCAGGGCACCGCAGTGAGACTACATCTCACAAAGACAAACACGCAGAGCTGGGCATCCTGGTACACACCTGTAATCCCAGAACCCCTCAGAGGCTGAGGCAGGATAACAGTGAGTTCAAGTCCTGCTACATAGCAAGATTGTGTCTGTCCCAAAAAACAGAAACAAAAGACAACCAACCCACCAAAAACAAAACAAAATTAAACAAGCCCTACTCTGTCTGTTTCCCCATCCAGGTTCAAGGATCCAACTTTACACCCAACACCATCAGGGATTTGTACCTGGAGACTAACAACCTCTAGGGGCAGGAAACACTCTTCTGACCCTCCTGTGTGATTCCCTTGGGTCTGGGTGCCTGTAAGTGTTTATCTTTTAAAGCATTAAAATGGTGTTAGTTGAGCACTGTGGCACACGCCTGTAATCCCAGCACATGGGAGGCTGAGGCAGGAGGATCACTGTGAGATTGAGGCCAGCTCAGGCTATATGATGAGTTCAAGGACAGCCTGGACTGCATAAGGAGACCCTATCTCAAAAAACCAAATAAATGATAAATAAATAAATAAAACCCCAACAACAAAACAAAAAAAGAAAAGTACACAAATCACTAAATAACAGTTGACTGAAGCATCTGACTGATCTACAGATACAGAGGTCACCACTATCTGGGTGGAATCATACAGTGCTTACAGCAACTGGCTGACAGGAGCACTAGGACAGCTCGCCACCTCATGCTCTCCTGGTGGAAAGACAGATCTTATCCACAAGCTGCAAGAGAGCTGAGGACGAATCTCCGAGAGATGCTGCGATTTCACAACAGAAAGTCAGCCTCTCCACAGAGCTGCTACCAACTGCCCCTTGGGCAAGAGGCCTGGCCAAACGCCTGGGCTGTGTCGCAATGGGAAGCACCCACAGCCCAGGAGCGTTCCAGAGAAAAACACTGACCATGAACCCAAAGCAAGTCTCAAGCACAGGAAATATGAAGAACAGAAACGCACACACAATACCACAAGGACATCATCAGCAAAACCAGACTGTGAGACGATCTACATAGCATAGATGACCCACTTTATGCAAAGATAAAATGACATACAGAAAGAAAAGGGAGGAGGGATCCAGAAGGAACAGAATAGGCTTAAGAGACAACCGAAATAGCCAGGTGTGGTGGAGCACACTTTCCAAGCCCACTTTCTTCATCTGCAGACCAATACCATAACTCTATTATCAGGATTCTGTGATGATCCAGAAAGATACTGTATGTAAGGTGGCTGATACACAGGACAGTCAAACTGTAGTGTGGTATTTCTGAAATGACATTGTGTGTGTGTGTGTGAGAGAGAGAGAGAGAGAGAAAGAGAGAGAGAGAGCTATTTGACTTATAAGGGGGAAAGTATAGTTTTCATTATAGAAACCTGTTTAAGAGGGCTGAAATAAATTTTCAACAAGTTGAAGATAAATCTATCTAACTGGCTGGTGGGTAGAGAAGGAATGGGTTTTTCCTAGGCATCCTACACTCCATTAGCATGAAAAAGCTGGTGGGGCCTTGGGTTTAAAGTTACTCTGCAAAAATGGAAATCAAACCCTGAACTGAGGTGTACCTAAGCAGGTACAACCACCCTACCCACTTGGCACAGAGGCCAGATCCACCAGCCAGCCGCTGAAGACTGCTCCTTACCAGGTACACGGGGCTCCGGTCACTGTCCATCGCAGGCATGCCGGTGAGGACCTCCGCTAGCACCTGCAGAGAACAGAACACAGGCTCAGCACAGCCAGATGCTCAGGCACCAAGGCAGCAGGAAGCTCTGGCCACAAGGGGAGGCTGTCCACACATCCAGCAGCTTCCCCGGGGAGCTAAGGAGACCACCAGGCTGGAATGGCAGGAGCAGAACGGACACACAGAGGCCCGGCTGAGGGAGGAAGCTGGCCTAGACAAGGCCTCTAGAGGCTGACCTGAATGGACAGGAGGCTGTGATCAAAGAGGGGAAGTGCAGAGTTTAAGACTGGAGAGGTCCGGCTGGGTTCAGCTGTGTACCGCTCACTAAAGCCACACTTTCATTTCAGCCAGCGTTTCTCCCGCTGATGCAGAACAATGCTTTGAGAAAACAAAGCTCCACCGCCAGTGAACCTGGGAAACTGCACGACTCTGTGGTGAACCCACAACCACCATGTTAAAGGTTTACTGATGCATTATAAGCGCTACTGAGCTGGGACAGGTGGTCAATGCCTGTAATTCAGCACCATAGAAGGCTGAGGCAAAACGACCGCTAATTCAAGCTCAACCGTTCGAAAGGAAAGAAAAAAAAGGGAAGAGAAGGGGAAGGGAGGGGGCTCTAACTAATCTTGTAAAGAAACCTACTGAACTCTGCTTAACCTAGTATTTTTCACCACAAAGACCATTCAGCACATCCATCCTACAGCAATCTCACAGAACTGGGATGTGTGCTATAGAGATTTTGGCGACTGCTCCACTCAGATCACGAGCTCCTGGCCATGACTGTGTTTTAGTTACTCTGACAGTCCAGCTGCCTGGCAAATGGTCATAAAGAAAGGGCTGTAGGAACAGCAGGAGGACACAAGCTGGCACACAGCCACTGAATGGACAGTTGGCTGCTGGACAAATGGGTCAACAGATGTTGGGGCAACTGCTAGACAGGTGATTGAGCTCTTAGGGTTTAGAGCCTGCCTTGGTTACTTTTCTCTTGTTGCTGAGACAAAATACCCAATGCCCCAAATTAAGAAAGGAAAGGTTTATTTAGCTCACACTCTGTGGAGGTTTCAGTCCTTAATCAGCTGCCTCCAAGGCAGGGTGGCATGGCACAGAGGCAATACTTCAAGGTGGCACAAGACAGCGAAAGCAGCAAGAGCAAAGAGGGGGTAAGACTTTTTTCCTTCCTTATATTGTACATTGGCTGTCCGCCCATGCCCACACCATCTCCATGCCCTCCTCTCCCACAAGCTGAAATGTTTACAAAGTAAAGACCCTGGCCCCCTGCTGAATCACTTAGTTGAACTTTTAAACTTCCCAAGTCGATACAATGAACATCCTAGAGCTAAGGGCATGTCCTTTTCATCCCAGGATGTAGAACTGTTTAGTTAAGCCTCTAGACTCCTCAAGTTGACACAGTGTATCAACCATAACAGAGCCCATGGCAACCGGCTTGCTTTCCCAGCTTCCTGGCCACTGTGGGTGAATGGCTCTCATGGGGGGAGAGGGGGCTGCTCTGCTGCTCTGCTGTTCGGCTAAGGCTGAACTCCCAACACTGTGAGCCAAGATCAACTCTTCCTTTAAGCTGTAGTTGTCAGGTAAAAATTCTGTCCCAGTAATGAGAAAGGGACATGAACAAAGACAAGCAGACAGGCCACAGGATGGATGCCTAGACTGGAATCAGAGAAGTCAGGAAATATTACCACAGCCTACTAAAATCTGGACAGTCATAAATATCTTTACTTTGAGGGTTGACACCTTCTTATAATAAACCTCAGTAATTATTGTAGCCTTTGGATTACATACAGTCTCTAGCACATATCCTATATGTTACTCTTAGCTCAGAGACCACAAAAATACTCCATGGATGCCAGGCATGGTGGTACATAACTGAGGTCCCAGCTATGTGGGAACCTGAGGCAGCAGGGTCACCTGGGTCCACCAGTTTGAGACCAATCCAGGCAACACAGTCAGACCCCATCTCAAAAAATAAGCCAAGTGTGGTGGTCATGTCTATAATCCCAGCACTCTGGGAGGCTGAAGCGGGAGTACTACACGTTTGAGTCCAGCCTGGGCATCTTAGCTACTTAGTGAGACCCTGTCCCAAGACAAAAACTAAGAAAGACAGGAGATGTAGCTCAGTGTGAAGACCCTGGGTTCATTCAATCCCAGTACTGCCAAAAAAAGAAAAAAAATGGTAAAAGTATGGCTCAGTGCAGAGCCCTTGCTGAGCATGAACAAGGCCCAGGCCTCCATCACAAGTACCACACACACGCATACACACTAGGTGGACCCGATCAGGCCTGGCACTAGCACAAAAACCGTATGCTGTGCTTACAAAGGAGCTAGGGGTCAGCAAAGGGGCACAGGCCCAAGTCTGAGCAGTAAAGGAAATCCTTACTATCCCACTGCTGAAGATGTCCACACGCTTGGTCAGCTGCCCAACCCTGATGAAATCTTCTGGCACATATGCTGCTGAGGCCTGGAAAAGGTGGGTCTTCATCACCGTGTATTCTGATCTTTTGTGGACAGGATACAACTGAGCCACCGGATGAGCCAGCTTAGGGGTAAATTCTTCATCCAGCAAAACATTGGAGCTGTGACAAGAAGCAAAAAACCCTCACTCTGAGTTAGAGAAGATGTGCCATGGAGACCATGGAAAATAATAGTGCTGAGTGTGTCAGAGCCCCTGCAGGGGGGCTACTGGAGACCCTTAACATGGAGTTCTGAGCCAGCGCTGCCACAGGAAGCAGGGCACTGGAGTCCAGTCCTCCAGCAAATAAGGGGCTCTACTGCCCAAGAGGTGCAGCTCCCTGATCCCTGCAGGGCCCACCCTCATCAGCTCAGCCTGTCAAACTCACAGCCTGTGCCAAAGCTGTCAACCTCTAGCTCTGACCGGCAGGTAGAAGTCTACATATCAGCATCCTTTGTGACTAACTTTCCCAGTCAGGGGGAATAAGAAAAGCAATTTTTAAAAATTTTAAGGAGCAATAAAAATATCCTCTGATCCAGTGATCTAGTCAGTGGGAGTTACCTCAGAGAAAATATTCCAAAGAGCAGGGTAAACCAAGTTCCATGTGTGGAACTAACCCCAAACAGTATTTTAAATAGCAGACACCAATTCCAATAATCACTCATAAGAGTGATTAAGTAAAGTTATGGGCAATTCCCATCAAGAAAAGACTAAAAACTCAGGAAAAAAATATGATAATTTACCATATAGAGCAACACTTACCATGTTTGAAAAGGGAGGAAAACAAAAGATGAACTGGTAACTGGGTACCTATGCTACTTAGAGCTATGGATGTGTGTGGGGAGAGCGTGAAACAAGACACAAGAATCGGTATGGGGATGTGGCTCAGCGGTAGAGCACCTGCCTACCACGCACAAGGCCCAGGGCTCCGTCCCCAGAACCACAAAGAAGAAAAAAAAAAACCAGAGGTCAGTACATGAGTCACAGTGGCAGGTCTCTGAAGCCTCTCACCCTTTCATTTTCTTTCTTGCTAGTACAACTGTTAGAAATCAGGGTAGCGGAGAACTGCCATGCCACAGAGAAGCACCGACACAAAATAGGCCCGCCTGGAGATGTGCGTGAACCATCCCGACATGGAGAAACCTCTGGGAAAACATGCCACCCGGTGGGTCGCTCTTGGCCCTGTCCTTGAGAGCCAGAAAGGTCCGGAGTCAGTGGAGGAACAGCCGATGAACAAGGACTCAGGGAGCACGAGAGTACTGACACCTGATGACTCAGAGGTCCAGCTGACTGGGGATGCGGGAGCCATTCGGGAGCTGGAGACCAGGAGGACCTTGCGCAATACCCGGGGAGACCCCCTGGAGGCCATTCTTCCCCTAACTGTACAGGCTGCCCTGGAGGAGCCAGTGACGCTCCGGAGAGGTCTGCACCGAGACTTCAGGGATTAAATGGGTGCCCAATATTCAGATTCTGTAGAACCGCCTTTATGGAGCACCGTTGTCTCCAAGGAGGACCCTGGGAAATCATGACTATAGAGAAAAAAGTGGACGGCCCGCTGCTGGACACCGGCCCTGGTCTCTCGGTCCTTCTTTTCAGCCCTGACCTTCCTTCCAGCCGTCACACCTCAGTGAGGGGAGTCACTGACGAGGAGGTAATCCGCTTTTTCACAATCCTTGGGCTGTAACTACTTGCTGGATCTTCTTGCACATCTTTGTTTTCCTGAGAAACACTTTGAGGATACCAACATGTATTGCAGCAGCCATTGATGATTTCCTACCAATCTGTCCATAACTCTGTAATGTTTGTATTGTTCCTATGCTATTTTGTAAATGGATGTATGTTTGTTATTATCTGTTTTCAACAACAACCATTGAGAACAGTCAATGATTATTTGATTGATCACTCATGTATAGCTCAATTTGTTTTCCCTAGAGACCACTTTGGAGAAACCAAGATATAGTCCAACAACCATTGATAATTTCCTGCCATTTTTGTCTGTAACTCACTATTATTTGTTTATTTGTTTTCCTGAGAAACTATCTTGAAGATGCCAATAGGTAAAATAACAACCATTGATAATGTCCTACCACTTTGTAATTCGGTGAATCCCCCTCTTGCTATGTTGTCCTTCTTTTATTCTTTAAAATAAAAAAAAGATATATTATGTACAGGTACAAATTCCTTATCATAAATGTGAACATTATACATGACAAACATGTACCAATAAAAATATTTTAAATAGTGTAAAAAAAAAAAAAATCAGGGTAGCAGAAAAGGGAAAGGCTTCCATGTTTCACATGCCAAACTGAGAGGACTCTGAGGAACTGTGAGTCCCATGGGTCAGGGCTATTTCGGGCAGAATTTTCTAGAATATTCTGGAATCTCTCCCATGATGCCAGGCCCCAGGTGGGGAATCTCTTACTCTTGGACAGATGCTGCTGAGACACTAGGGGACAGGAAACCTTCCCAACAAGCTGCTGTGATCAATAGATACATTGGGCAGGACCACTGAGAGGAGCTGAAGCAGAGAGCTCCAAGGTCCAGACATGGCTTAAGGACGGGGTCCAAGCTGGTGGCTGAGCAAGTGGAGAGTGAAAAGTGGTGGGGTGTGGAGGGCCTGCTGCAGAAGAACAGCTCCACAAGCCCAACGTAGGAAGAGAGCAGTGTGCTAAGGGCTCCCAGGGCATAGCCCAAAACAAACACAGACACGGGCAGGCACGAGGACACAGGGAAGAAGACAGGGGCGCCCCAGAGGAAGCAGGGCTCAGCCCTACAGCCAGGCCCTGGAGACCAGGTCACCCTCCCACCTCTTAACATTGCCGTGGATGATGTCCAGGCCGTGCAGATGCTCAACCGCACCGAGCAGCCCTGAGCAGATGCTGACAAGCCGGGGCCAGGGCAGGAGGTCTGAGTCATCCTAGGAGAAAGAAGACGGGGAGCAAGGGTCACACGGCACCAAAAGCTGCATCCTTGCTCCCATCTCCTATGCCTCCCTGTCCTGTCTTCCACAGCATAGCTTGCTGACGAGGGACCGTGCATTTCACAACAGTGGCCTACCTGTGAGGCCTAGTGCAGTCATGCTAGCTGTGTGACTTTAGAAAAGACTCCTAACTCGTCCTGTCTCCTTGGGTATAAAATGGAAATGTTGGGCAGAAGCATAGTTCAGTGGCAAAATGCCCACTGAGAATTTGTAACCCCATAGGTTTGGTACTGATCCTCATTCCCAAGAAAAAGAGAAAACAGAGGACATGTTCGCCCTCGTGTTTCACGATCACCGTAATGACTCAAGGGGCCACACGGGAGCCTCTCATGCTGCCTCCCACGTAACAGGTGCTCAAAATCCAACAGCTTTTATATGACTGCTATGACGGCAGCTCCGGACCTCCCCTCCAGCAGGGGCTGGCTGGGAGGGCTCGGGCTCAGGGCTGCACACAGTGCGCGTGGGTTTCCTGTATCCTGGGGGCCATATCAGAGGCAGAGGGGATGACAGGGAAGGCTGAAGCCTCGCACCAGCACTGGGCTACGGCTGTTCCACCGACACTGAGTCTCTGGGCTAGATCAGCACCTGCTTTCACCTGAGGCCCGAGGATCCACGCCCTTTAACAGCTGGCCTGGACTCTGACAGCGGGCTGAGGCTGGAGGCCACCACAGCCCAGGGAAGCCCTGCTCTGATGCTGTGGCTGTATTTCCTAGCATAAGTTGCTTGGCCTCTCTGTACCAGAAACTCCACTTCTGGAAAACAGGAAGATGCTTCTTTGATGGCGGCAAGGCCTGAAGGAAATGACGTGGGTAAAGACCTCCTTGAGGCGCCTTGCTGGGAAGGACTCTGCAAAGCAGCAGTTTCTGGTATATGGTAAATGAAAGTGACACCTGACCTCGGCCAAGGGAAGTGACAGCTGTGTTGTGGAGAAACGCTCTTTCTTTCATCTGAGGAGTTGATAAGCAGGAGATTCTGTTTTAAAGTTATAATTTCTTTTTTTTTTTCAGTCAGGGTGTTACTCAGTTCGGGCTTTAAGCTCACTATGTAGCCCAGGCTGGCCTCAAACTCGTGGTGATCCTCCTGCCTCAGCCTTCCGAATGCTGAGATAATGGGCATGTACTACCACTCCTGGTTAAAATTATAATTTTTTTTTTTTTTTTTTTTTTGGTTTTTCT